GACCCAAGAATTAATATTTTAAAATTGAATCTGGTGTGTAAGGCCAAGAAAGCACCTGGCCTCAGATCACACAGCTGATCCCCACAATTTTTCTGCCACATCAGACCCTTGAGACAGAGCTCACTGCATTGGCTCGCAATTTGGGAGGAAGGACTGCAGGAGAAATTTGACTTCCCTCCCCCTACCACTGAGGAGCCCCCAGACCCTCACTTCAGGTCTGTCCCTCCTCCCATTAGTGGAGAATCAGTGGAGAATTAGAAAGAGGAGGTCTAGATTGTTTTGCCCCAGTTCTAAGAGTGATTTAGGACAATTTATTAATTTGTCTGGGACTCACCTGTAATCTGTCTACTTCCTTGTATATAAAAGCAGGACTAAACAGGGGTGTCCAAGGCTGGCTATTGACATCCTTTGGGGACCATTACAGAATACGGATTTCAAGCCCTACCTACAGATTTGGATTCAGATTCCACAGGTCATAGCATTTAACCCTCCAGCTAAGGGTCAGTTATTACTGACTGAAAATAATAATTCGGGCCTTCAAAGTAAAGCTGACAGTCTAATTACAGACATGAAAAATTAGAAAGCTGCTACTGTATTGCCAACTGTAACATGCCCAGATAAAAGGCTGTGAAAATTTTTCTCACTGGCATTCCAGACAGTAATCTGAATTGTAAGAGTATGTATATATATGTATATACATCTTCCCCCATGAAATTCAACAAATGCCTTTTCAATGCAAATGCAGCCTCTAAATGTTTTTATTATTCCACACTTGACTCATGCAAAAAAGTTAGATTATCACTAGTCTAAACATTCTGATGTGGAGAAAGATGAAAGAGGAGTCCAGGACATCTTTACAAAAAAGTGAATTTCCATATTTGACTGCCTTTCAAATCAATTAATTGACGCACATGAGTCTCTGTTTTAACTGGCAGTGGTTCTCCTGCTTAAAGGTACAGCTTTATTCGAGAGGATGTCAATGTCATAAGATTGTTTTATTGCTTAGGAAGGACGGCATGAGCTGAGAGTAGCCCCCCAAAAGTTTTCAGAAACACAAGTAATGACTTTTTTCTCTGATTTTACCTGCTCAAAATAACTATTTAGCTATAGCAAAACGTTCTAATGTTAATTTCTCAAAGTGCATGTAAACGTATTTACATATTTAGCTAAAATGATGGACAAGTCATAGAGCGACTGAAGGAGAAAATCTGGTAGTTTCTGCCCTTCCTTTCGGGATTCTGAGCACCAAGTGGTCTGATTCATCTTCACAGAGCTGCCAGTGCCTAGCACGGTGTGTTACACCTACAAGGCACTCAAGAAAGAAGACTTGTTGAAAACGATAGAAGCGGTTTGCTCTATTTATGGCGATCCCTTGATCACCCTTGACCCTCTGTGCCAATGACTATACTTGCGTTCTGAGAAATGAAATAAGCTGTAATGTGGTGTATCACATAACGTCAATAATTCAACCATTAAATTCATTTGAAACAAGCCTTAGCCATTAATTTATTGCAAAAGAAATAAAAAGATGGCAGGAAATAAGAGATTAATGACTGACATTGTGGCCCTTCTCTCTAGATTTTCCTAAAGTACCAGGATTAGGAAAAGAAATCTTAGATAGAAAATAAATTATAGAAGTAAGTGATTTTTGAGTCATATTTTAGTCTAAACAGAAATTCTGCTGTAATTCTCTCCCTCCCAACTCAATAATCATTTTTTTCGTTTCTAAGTGACTTAAATAAACCTCACATTACCCCACCTCCTCCTTTACTTCCTCCTCCTATATCACCACCCCTTGCTCACTGCCCACCCAGATCCATCCATCTTTCATAAACTACCTCAAGTTCCACCTCCACTTTGAACTTTTTCTAGACTAATTCAGTCCCCAAGTATCTCCCTCTCTTCTGAGTTTACTGCCATGAATTTACTGGTAAATTATGATCCCTTGCCTTTCTCAAGACCAGTTTGCTATTCAGAATATGGCATAAATGCTTGTGTAGTAGATCTCTAGTTGACTCTCAGATTCTTGCAAACTGGAAGCATCTCTTCTTTGTATCACTTAAAGCAGTAGCTTTTGGACTTTCTGAAACGATGCATAATAAGATATACGTTTCATCATAGTCTGATGTGTTTATACATATAGGTATCTATTTAAAAGTTCCAAGAACAATACTTATTTGCCCGCCTATTCTGTTTTACTCTATTTTGTTTTTCAAAAATAAAAGTGCTATCAGACCCAGTAAACTGACTTCACAACGGGTTGTGACCAGTTCTAGAAGGGCACTTATTAATTACTCTGGGATTGCTGTATATAATTTCCTTCACTTTACATAATTTTATAATTATCTGTGGCCTTTGGGCTTTTCCTGAGTACTTTTTTTTTTTTTTTTTTTTGCCTTTTGGAGTCATCTGGGACAATTAAATGCTTGGAATATACAAGTGTTTTCTATTCTTTCACCCTGAGCAATGCTGTCATAAAGATTCCCTGCATTTCTATAATACTCAAATCTCCATTCCCTCATTCTCTTTTATTTTCACACTATGCACAGTAGCTGGTAGACATTTTGTGGATGAAGAAATTGAGGCACAGAGAATTCTGACTTTCTCAAGGACATATCTCCCTTTTAATCAGGCTATTGTAAATTAAGGTAAACATGGTTTCTACATAGTTGAAAGAGATAAACTTGGGTAATATGAACAACATATAGCCTCAATATGAATGTATTTACCTAACTTGTCTGGATCAAATGGTCTCCTGACCAGATGAGTTAGCAGCTCTTCTGGACTTCAGTTTGAGGATGGAGCCACTTCCTTCTCCATCGCCATCTTTCCATCTTTATATCCTCACAGTTTTTCAACCACCTAGAGCTGCTTGTTCTTCCCGGGCCTCTGTATATTTTGGTCCCTATTCATGATTTTGTGATTCTATGATCAATATTTCAGCGCTTCCCTGAAGGCTGCAGCTTTTGTGACTGGAAATTCATACGGTGAAGGATAGCTGTGTCTAATACATTCTTTCAAGTTCATTTAGGGCACAACCAAGGAAATGTTGAAAGGACAAATAATTAAGCGTATTGGGCAAGTGTATTTGTTTTAAGGCAATTTTTTAAAAAAACACCCAGATTTTAAAGCTGCTTGTTGGAGCCCACCCTGCCCTCCAATTGAGGCACTTCTGATTCATATCATGCCTTAGTCCTCTGTTTCCAATATGAAGCTATACACTTGCAATTTTGCCCTCATCATTTTCATAAAAGTCTAATTAGTGATTAGGTGAAGCCTCACCGCATCAAAACACACTTTACAAGGATCTCTATGAGTTCCTCTGCACTGTTTCCAAAATAAATTCCAATGATATAACATCTAGGCTTGCCATGGTAATTACTACTTCTTTTTTCTGTTTATGAATCAACAACCTATCCCCCCCACTAAACGCACCGAAAAGCTTGAAAAATGTTCTTCGTGATCCTATTTCAAAAGAATATTCTCTAATATAAATTCCTGCCATTCCCAGATAACAACAGAGAAGATTTTCTTCTTTAAGCTGTGACTCATGTATCTTTATTCCCACAGTTGTTACTCAGGGCAGGCCAGTGGTGAACACAATGGAAGAGAAAGAATAGTTTATAACTGGAAAATAGGCCCATTCTGGAGAAGTACACTCAAAGCATTATCAAAGTAAAATATGTAGCGGTACCAACAAGAGCAAACAAAAGCCCACGCAAGAGATGTGTAAATACTTCATGAAGCTAAAGCCTTAATCAACTCTCTCTCCAAATCTTGCTGGTGCTGTAAATGCTTCAGTTTCTTCCAGTCCCACCATGACCCAGATTCTTTGCAAAACCAAAATGAAAACATGGTCCAATGGCTCTTTAACCAATGTGTTGTGAAAAATATTTACATGGAGCATATACAAGGTATTGCCTGAACAGGAAGAAGAGGATACCTTAAAAAAAGGCGGTAGCTTCTTGGTGACTCTCAGAGCTTCGTTTCTCCCCTCCTCCAAATCATTGCCTTTTTCCCACCACCTGTGCTGCTTTCTGGACCTTCACATCATCTTAACCTTGAACTACCTACACCCCAAGCTGAGATTTCTCCCAACGCCCCTCCGAAAAGCCCTTGAAACCCTTTGGGGCTTTGCTGCCTTCCACCATCCAAAATTCACTTTCCAGTGTTTAAATTCCTCTCTTCCCCGCCCCCCACCCTGACCCGCCTTCACTGTCCATTGTTGCGTCTGAAATCTTGCCTGTATCTTGTAGATCTGCCTGGTTGGCATAAGGATCTGTCTGTGTATTGGCTGACAGTGTTCTGCAGTGATTTCTTTTCTAAAATCCATCTCCGAAGAACTGTTTATAGCCTCTAGCCTCTACCCTTATTCAGTGTGGTTCCAAAGTTCACCTCTAGATACTAAACAGGTCTCTGCAATGATTTCCCTTTATCAACCTCTGCCCGCCCTTCTCTCTCCGCCTTTCTCAAGAAAAACTGTGTATGTGTAAATGCGTGGATACAGATGCACACAAACGCATGTATATTATATATAACGATAGTATGTTTCCCTTAAAGGGAATAAGCGTAGGAAAATGAGAAAAATGCCTGTGTAGTATTGCCAAACACGCGCGCGCGCGCACACACACACACACACACACACACACTCTCTCTCTCCTATCTGGATATTCACAGTGTGCAGACCTGATTGATTATAAATACTTCTCCCAAGAACAAGGACAGCAGGCGTCTTCTCTCTTTTACCTTCAAAGCCAGAGCCTAAGGGAGCAATGACCTTGCCGAGAAATTCATCACCTGCGAGAAAGACGGCCCCTCCTGGAGCTCAGGCTGGGATGGGGACGAGAGCAACAGGCAAAAAGGACCACCTGGCAAAATGTGGGACCGAATCCACTTCCCATCGGTACTGAACACACCGCAAAGCTCCGGTCCCCTACGGCTGGACGCCGGGCAGAGGTGGCCCGCGGGGGCGGCTCCTCCCGCGGCCACCGGTCGCCTACCTGCTGTCGCCCGGCTCTCCCCGGCGCGGCGGGGCCACTGCCTGCGCTGTGCCGGCGGCCTCCCGTCGCATATCCCGAGCAGCGGCTCCCGGCGCCACACCGATGGCTCGGGCGGGCTCGGCAGCGGCGGTCCTCTTCAGACGCGTTCCGGGAGCGAGCTGGGTGCTAGCAGGAACTGAAATTACTACGCAAAGAGCAGAGGCGGCGCGCAGGAGCCGGGCGGAGACGGCGGGGGGCACCGCGGGGCTGCCGCTGCCGCCGGGCACTGAGCCAAACTGGAGGTGGGAGTTCACGTGCCCGACTGCTCATCCGTCAGGCCCGGGCTGCGGCCATCTGTCCTCGGCCGCAGTGCTGCTCCGCCGGAGCCTCCGAGGAAGGGGCGGGGAGGGGGGGCGGGGGGGGGGCGGCGGCGGTGGCGGCAGCAGGCCGCCGAGCTCCGCCCCCGCCGCGCCCCCGCCCAGCCAGCTCGCCCCTGGGGAGGGCCTTGAGGCGGCTGCTACGGCGGGGCGGGCCGGGGGGCAGTCGGGCACGGGCTGGCGGGCTGCGGAGTCCCTGCAGGCGGACCGGCAGCAGATGGAAAGTTAAGAAAAGGATTAAGGTAGAGGGCTGGGGCCGAGAGCGACGCAGCAGGGATTCTGGCTGTTGCTCCCTCCCGCAGGTCACCAGACTCCATGCTGTGTCTAGACTCCAGCAGACGGTTTCTCATAAAGCCACGGGCGGGGGAGATCTGAAAGCAGGGAGACCACCCAACGTTTCCTGTGTGTTGCAACACGTACGATACCTGCGTATTTGGAGAGGGCATTGTTGCTAGTGTTCCTTTCCCCCCGCCCCACTGCGCTCTCCTGGGCGTGGATGGCTTTGGAAAGTGTCCACTCAAAGCGGCTCCAGCAACACTGAATGGATGTGTAGTATGGTTAGCAGCTGTAGATGGTGCAAATGATTCAATGAAAAGAAATCATATTCACTCAGTATTTGTTGGCAGGCGCTGTGCGAAACGCCTTATATGCAGCCTCTGTAATTCTCATAACGACCCAGTGAGGTGGGTATTATTCTCCACCTTATTGATGAGAAAACTGAGGCTTTGATGATTCAGACACTTTGCTTGAGGTCACACAGTAGTGACCTGCACAGCTGGGATTCAAAATGCTGCAAAATATATCCTCTCTCCCATGGGAATAACCTGGGGATCTTATTAAAATGTAGATTCCGATTCAGTATGCCCAGAGTGGGCCTGAGGATCTGCATTACTAACAAGCGCACAGGGGGCGCCCGTGATGCTGGCCAAGGGACAAAACTTTCTAAACCACTAGGTCAGGGATTTTAATAAGTTTCTTCTTTCACGGCAGCTCTACGTGATTGACAACAACTTCCTAAAGGTGGGTTAAGGCTGTGTCTTGGCTTTTGGGCAAAGAATGTTGCAGTCCATTAGCCACGTTCAACTTTGTTAAGGGAGGGAAGTTTGTGACCAGGGTGCCAGGTGGCCACTTCTACCACTGCTAAAATAACACGTCAGTTACTGAGGGTGGTTATGATGTAACATTCAAGGATGGACGTCTTCATTCCAGTCCTCTCCCTTGTTTAGAAAACATTAAGTCAAAGTTTTACACCTAACATTTGTATAACACAAAACACTTTGCACGGTGCTCACATGAATAATTTTATCTGTCTTCATAACGACGCTGTAAGGCAGGTATAATTTTACTTTACAGGAAAGGAAGCTGAGGTAGAGTGATTTTCCTGATATTACACAATTAATAAACATGTGGTGGGGACTAGATTGTGACAGATCCCTAGCTCAGGACTTTTTTTTTTATTATACCACTGTATTAGTTTCCTACTGCTGCTGTAACAAATTACCACAAATTTAGTGGCTTAATACAACAAAAATTTATTATTTTATAGTTTTTGAGGTCCAAAGCCTGAAAATAGGTTTTACAAGGCTAAAATCAAAGGGTCATTAGGGCTATGCATTCCTTCTGAAGGCTCTGAGGGGAGAATCTGTTCCTTCATCTTCTTTCCCAGCCTCTAGAGGCAGCCTGCATTCCTTGGCTTGTGACCACATCACTCAGACTTCTGTTTCTATCCTCTACTCTGAGCCTCCTGTATCCCTCTTTTTTTTTTTTTTTTTTTTTTTTGTGGTACGCGGGCCTCTCACCGCTGTGGCCTCTCCCGCTGCAGAGCACAGGCTCCGGACGCGCAGGCCCAGCAGCCATGGCTCACGGGCCCAGCCGCTCCGCAGCATGTGGGATACTCCCGGACCGGGACACCTGCATTGGCAGGCAGACTCTCAAGCACTGCGCCACCAGGGAAGCCCCCTGCATCCCTCTTATAAAGACTCTTGTGATTATGTTGGTTCAACCCAGATAACCCAGAATAATATCCCCAGCTCAAAATCCTTAATTTATTCACATCTGCAAAGGCTCTTTTGCGATGCAAGGTAACATATACATAGGTTCCAGGGATTAGGATGTAGATACTTTGCGAGGGTCATTATATCGACCAAAACTTCACTTAGTGCTTATCCTATAGTTTCTACTGTATTTTACTCATCCTTCTCTTCTGTGTGATTTCTCAGACTGCTAGGAAGTTCTTTCAATGGAAATATTCACTTGAAAGTCATTTAAGAGACAATAACAAATGTATACTGGCAAGAAATACCCCGAGGCCATGAAAAAGCCACGAGGATGCCTAGGATTGTGGTCACGAAGTGGACACATAAGATTAGGAGATACTTATTGGTCTGAATGGCACTGAGGTAATCCTTAGGGGAAGTCCTAACCACAGTTACAGGCTCACTTTAGCAATACAGAATTTTTTAAAAAAATTCTGCTTCTCAAAGGTACATTGTTCTATGATGAATAAGGCAATTCAAAACTCATACAAAATTGAATATAACACTAAATTCCAAAGGGTAATAATTATCGGAGTGATGATAAACATTAAACCAGTATGTGAAACAAAGCCAAATCATATTATTGAACGCCTCAAGGAATTTATAGAAAGACTCTGACATGCACAAGTTTAACATTTCATTAGGAGCACAGAATTTATGGAAAATGAAAATAATAAAGGATTTAAACAGAAGAAATAGGAGAAGCAACGTGAGATGGTACATGGTTAATTGCCAAGTGAATTAGGTAAAGTGAAAATTTTATTTGGAAGTTAGGTTTATACAGGGCAGTGGAAATAAAACTGGAAAGGTAGGTTAGAAAGGTGTGTTGTGAAGGATCTTAAATGTCAAGTTACAGAGTTTAGACTTAACCTGAAATAATAGCAACAATAATAATACCTTATGTTCACAGAGTGCCGCGTAATTTACCAAGTGCTTTTTACGTCTTTTCAGTTATTTGAGTTCCCTCCCTCTGCCCCCAGAGAAGCAGGCCAACATGCTCACACGAACACATACACCCCTCACATCGCATGGGGAAGGAAGTGCAAGCTTCTTATCAAAGAGGCGTTCTCAACCGCTCTATATAGAATAGCGGCTCCCTCCCCACTTACCTGTCATTCTTCCTATCCCCTTTACCCCGATTTATGCTTTTTCATCAGACTTCCTACTGCATTCTGCGTTTATTTGTTTATTGTATGTCTGCTGTCTATGAGGGCAGGGACTTTGTGTCTTTTGTTCTCTGCTAAATCCCTATCACCTAAAACAGCACGCACCATTTAGTGAGGGCTCAGTAAGTGGAATGAATCCTTACCCCCAATTTATAAATTGGGAATCAAATCCCAGATGTTTAAATAAACTTTATGTTCCACAGCTGTTCAGTTCCTTTACCAAGACTAAAGCCCCGTATCCAGCCAAATGCCTTTTTGATAGTCTCTTTCCTTTCTGAGTGAAAGCTCTTAGGGCTGTTCAGACAGGGGCAGCACTGTATTTGAAAAAGATGAGCATTTGAGATGAGAATCTTCTCTAAATGTCACATCTTTCCTAAAACCTTCATCAGTTTAGCTGGATTGGCAAGAGGCATTGGCGGGATGAGTTAGCAGTGGTAGATTCTGGAGGGCTGTCATCACTCCTGCATTAGTTGGCACTGAGTAATACTGTAAGTTGTTTTGTAATTGTTCTCTGGTTAATTCATATGTGTGTCTTGACACTTTGTATTACACATTTTGGGCTCAGGGACTATAACTTCTATTTTTTTTTTTTTTTAATATCCATACATTCTGCCCAGTACTGGACTCTAAATAGATTTTATCACTGCATGGTTACAAAATGGCTGCCGTTGCTTTAAAAATCATATCCTTACAAACCACATTCAAGACAGTGTAGGGGATTCAAATATGCGACTGCAAAATATGCCACTTTGGCATAAGGATTATTTTGAGCTGGAGGAAAATGAGGACCAACAGATGCAGATAGGAGCCTTCTTGGAGTTTCCCTTATCTGACTAAAACCAGAAACTTCTGAGAAGTGAGGATTACCATAAATCCCCTCTCCTGGGCAGTTTTAAGGTCATGAAGAAAACAGAAAGCTGGCACCGAGATAAGTCTGCAAACAAATCTTATTAAAATAACTCATCTTTAATTAGGTTTCCCCCTATATATTTGCCTTCCCACAGTTTGCTGTCCCTAAAAGCCTAAACTCCTTTTTCCTTTGTCTTGTTATCTCTATACAAATTTACTGTTTTTGTGAAGATGCTATATAAGCCCAAGTTCTAACCACCCCTTTGAGTTACTCATCACTGAGTTTCTTCTGCATCTACGCCTGATGTACGTACGTATTAATAAACTGTTTCTTTTTCTCCTGTTAAACTGTATTTTGACTGTCTAATTTTCAGGGCCCCAATTAGAGACCCTGAGAGGATAGAGAAAGTAGGTTTTTTCCCCTCCTATATAATAGGAAGAAAAGAATTCCAGTGGAAAAGGGAACCTCTTCTTTTTATGGAAGAAAAAAATATTTTCCAGAACCCATTCTCTTATTCCCAAGTCATTGGCCAGAATTCAGTCACCAAATCACCCAAGGAGGCTGTGAAAGTGAGCACCTAGCCAGGAGGAACAGGCTTGCTTTGATTTTTCTAGGCTAGTTGTCCTGGTGCCCCAATCATAACCAAGTTCTGTTATTAAGAGAGAAGGAACAGAGGCTCTAGGATCAGCCCTTAGTAGTGTCTTTCACACAGAATCAGTATAGAAATACTGAAGACTCGCGGTAAGGTCCATTTTGATGTCACCTAACTGCCTTTGGATTTCTGGAAAATGAGGGCCAGTCATATAAGTCAGGCTCTTACCTATTTTCCTCCCTTCACCCTCTCTCTCTCTCTCCCCCCCCCCCCCCCCCCCGCCCCTACTCCCTCCCCCCCTTTCTTGATCTTCTTTTCCTTTCTTTCTTCCTTCCTTCCTTTCTTT